CATAAAAATGGCTCTGCGAAGAATAGCTCTCGTCTGTTATACAGATAAATAGGCGTTGACAGGCAAGATCGATATCGGCCAACAAGCGATTTCAATTACATTTTGTTACCTCTTGTAATGAGGCGCAGTTTAATCATCGTTGAATTACGCGAACTGGGGAATATCCCATATACCTGTGTTTGTGTAAATTGCTGTTACCGACATTGTGATAAATGTGTATGCCACTCGCGTTGATACGATGGCACTCTTGCTATTAACGATCTTTATGATGTCAATCAAATAACTTGGTAACTCGGCCTTACCTCCCCCCCCCTCCTTCGTCATTGATTAATGGTTTACAGCAAAGGATCTTCAGAAAGTTTTCCTGCTTTGTGTGCGTAAAGGAAATATGGTGTGTATAACATAGCGTTGCCATCTCGCTATATAATCCCCTATTTATAAACCGCTTGGTAATTTAAAAATCTTTAGAAAAATAGTACAGTCTTTTATCAGTCTTAAGTAAATCTCTCCCGGCAGAAAGGCGTGCAGAAAATCTCCATAAACTTTCTTGTCATGATACTTTTCCGAAGATGTTCCTTTATTCAAATCGATCAGTTTCAATAAAGATAAGCCTTAGATATGATTGATAACACCGTGTAAAATAATTTTTTTATATACGAAAAAATATCTGATGAAAGAGACAAAATCTTACATAAATCTGACATGCGTTCCATTTTGCAATATAAAATTATTTAAAGTTTAGAGCACATTTAAAGTTTAGAACGGGTCATTTTAATTGCAAAATAAAATTTTGCAATGTGAAAATTATGTATTTCCATGTAAAATAATTGCTCGCTGAATAAAAAAATAATAAAATAAAAATTGGCATAGAGTAAAATAATGAAAAACTGTATTTTTAGTTAAAAGTTGTTAAAAATTCTCAATTTTTTTTTTAAGTTATCTTTTTCATTAATATTTATAAATAAAATTATAAAAAGGCTGAAAAAAGAAAGAAAAAGCACTAATTATATGGTAACTAAAATTAGGT